GGGGGCGGTGTGTGCAAGGATCCCGGGTAGCGCTGGAAGCGCCAGTGACCTAGTGGGAACTCGCACGGAAAGTAGGTCAGCGCCTAACGCCACCCTCAGCAATCGCACCCGGCTCCCAGCTGGAGCCTGCCCAGCAATGGCAGGGGCCCCCGCTGCGGATCAAAAGAAATGGCTCCCCGCACCCCTGCCAATTCCCACAACCTGCCTGCTCCCTCCAACGACAATTCGGCCCCTGTTCCAGCCCTGAAACAAGCTGTTCTAGGCAGCGATTAGTCATAGGAGGGGATGAGTCACTCCTTTAGGATTTGCTGCTGCCTGCCTCCTTGAATTTTTTCTTCCCCTCTACCCTAGGTTCCGGATCAAAAGAAATGGCTCCCCGCACCCCTGCCAATTCCCACAACCTGCCTGCTCCCTCCAACGACAATTCGGCCCCTGTTCCAGCCCTGAAACAAGCTGTTCTAGGCAGCGATTAGTCATAGGAGGGGATGAGTCACTCCTTTAGGATTTGCTGCTGCCTGCCTCCTTGAATTTTTTCTTCCCCTCTACCCTAGGTTCCCCACCCTCCCATAGCTGACTTCTTCCCACTCTGCTAATGACTAGGCCTTTACAAACAAACAAACAAACAATCAAACCCTTTTCAAGGAGAAAAGGCCAACAGAGGCCAGGAAACACAAAGGTCTCTCCCAAGCCCTGGGCCTGTGTCTGGAGAAGCCACACGCCGGGCTGACTTTACCTGTTCCCTTAAGGTGAGCCTGCTGACCTGGTTGTGTGACTGCTGCTTTCTGGCAGCATTGTATCCCCCAAAGCATTGGCCACACGCTTTCCCATATTACTCCTCACCCTTCCCAAAATGTCAGAGGGAACAGAAGTGCCTTCCACCTCCCTTTGCAGAGGAGAGGTAGACTCCTTGCAAATGATACCCCTTTATGCTAGTGGTACCCTAGCACTTCAAGAACCCTCTGATACAAAACATCAGGGCCCTGCTGTGCTAGGCACTGTAGGAACAAGCAGAAAACGACCACCACCATCGACTAGCACTGTGACAAGAAGCAGCAGCTCCAAGGAATAAACAAAAGGTTGGGAAATGCAGGAGAACGATGACCCAGAAGACGAATTAGGAAGTAGGTCACCAGAGCATATTAAAGCCCTTTATTCAATGGGAGGACTGGTGTACTTAAAGGCTAATCATGTTTGTGCTTGCAAGAACAGGGCCTTAAACTGTCACTATTAAGGAATATCAATAGGTGAAAGTCATATCATGGCCACCTCTCAAGAGTACACATTAGCCACTGGAGTGGCTTGATCAGAACAGTGATTAATTAAAAGAACTGCCAAATGGTTATGCAAAGTCAACATAAAATAAGGCTCAGCCCAGGGTGGTTTTATGATTGCTATCCATTTGGCTTTCAGGCTAAAATACTATCCTATTCTAGAAACACTCTTTAGAGTAGGGAAAACTGCTAGAGAAAATACTGAAGATGAGAGAAGGGGACATTTTTGAGAGGGCAGGTGTAGCCATTTGTACTTTATTCTGATGTGACTAAGGGCAGTATGGGTATGGAGCAAATTTCACAACATGTGGCCAAATTCTGACATCAGTATGGGGCAGCAACCCCATTAACTTGAATGAACCGGGCTTTGGGTAAGCTGCTGTTGTCTGAGTTAAAGGCCAGCCCTGAAACCTCTATGAGTGATTCTTACTCACTTTAGTTGTCCCAGTGAAGTCAATGGGCCTGATTTTTTTCACATCTACTTATGGAAAGCACAAACATTCCTAAGAATATAAAAATGGCCAGACTGGGTCAGACCAAAGGCCCATCTAGCCCAGTGTCCTGTCTTCCGACAGTGGCCAGTGCTAAGTGCCCCAAAGGGAGTGAAACAGAACAGGGAATCGTCACGTGATTCCTCTCCCATCATCCATTTCCAGTCTCTGACAAACAGAGGCTAGGGCCACCATCCTACCCACCCTGCTAAGACCCTAACCCTCATGAATTTATCTAGTTCTTTTTTGAACCCTGTTAAAAAAATCCTTGTCCTTACAACATCCTCTGGCAAGGAGTTCCACAGGTTGACTGTGCGCTGCATGAAGAAAAATTTCCTTTTATTTTAAACCTGCTACCTATTACATTTCATTTGGTGACCCCTAGTTCTTATGTTATGGGAACAAGTAAATAACTTTTC